TGAGTGAAGGAGGCTTTGTTGCGAAATAAGAAGCAGATTCTAGATTTAACTTTGGATTGGAGTGTTGTATGGCATTGAGGAGGTTTGTTAACACAGTGTTCAATAAAGGGCCAGATGTATACAAAATGGTGTCGTCTGCGTAGAGGTGGATCTGAGAGTCACCAGCAGCAAGTGTAACATCATTGATATACACAGAGAATAGAGTCGGCCTCAGAATTGAACCCTGTGGCACCCCCATAGAGACTGCCAGAGGTCCAGACAACAGGCCCTCCGATTTGACACATTGAACTCTATCTGAGAAGGAGTTGGTGAACCAGGCGAGGCAGTCATTTGAGAAACCAAGGCTATTTAGTCTGCCAATAAGAATGCGGTGATTGACAGAGTCGAAAGCCTTGGCCAGGTCGATGAAGACGGCTGCACAGTACTGTCTTTTATCGATCGCAGTTATAATATTGTTTAGGACCTTGAGTGTGGCTGAGGTGCACCCTTGACCAGCTCGGAAACCAGATTGCATAGCGGAAACCAGATTGCATGTCAGGATGAGCTGGCCAATCAGCAGTCTATGCGCATGAATATTTTGAATGACCAGTATATGCCCACACCATTCTGTTGTTGGGGAACACCCACACCATTCCAACACAGAAAAGCTGCTTTTTAACATATTTCTTTGGGGGAAGGAAAACTATTTCACTTAAATTGTAAATGATTATCGGTCATATTTCATAGAGATCTGGAAACACTGGACAGTTACTTTAAACTTTTAATGGTTGAGTAGTATTTACCATGTCCTTTGGTCTGTTTTTTTGCTGTAGTATATGTTAGGAAGCCTTTGTTATAGCATCTAGAAGTGCAAATGATATAAAATACCAAAATGTGGTCATTTATACACATGCACTTCTGGAGGCCTTAACAAAGGCTTCCAAACTGGGATTCATCGTTATGCCGTAATATGTAAATACATTATCTAGCAGCCAACCTGCTTGCACCAATCCCATGTAAATGCTGTAAAATACTGTAAAATACAAACCCCATCTCACCTCAATGAATTTAATTAATTAATTACAGTTACCGTAATAACATTACAGTAATGCATTGTACTGTTGTTTTAAGGTAATTTACAGGCAGCCAGTACGTTATCATAAAAACAATGGAAAAAAGATTACAGTAACAGTATTGGATACTGTAAAATATGGTACGGTAACATACTGTATCTTTTTTTATGGTAACTTACAGGAAACTGGCTTCCTGTAAGTTATCGTAAAAACAACATGAAATGGTTTACAGGGCATACTCTGCAGTCTCTAGGCAAAGGGATTGATTCTCAGTTCAGTCTGGATACCAGGGAGAGTGAACTGACCACTCACTCAAATTAGACAGCTTATAAACTGACAGCCTTTACAGTTGGTGCTTTAATAGAGTATGTGAGTATATTATAGGCTAACAGTGCTCCCTGCTAGTCTACAGTACGTACTCATGATAGTGTGCTGGAGTGAGGGTTAGCATGGTGAACTTACATGTGAGAGTAGACTTCATCCCCTGATATGGGAGATCAATGCTCGTAGCTGAAGTTTCTCTTGTGACCCATAAAACCATGCATCTGTTAGCCTGCAGCTATTGGTCAAGAGCGTGCGCACCATACACGAAAATTATTGTGACCCAATCCCATGACCGTAAACATAGATGAGATGGATATTGCGATGATCACAATGTATAAGTGGGAAATGGAGAAGTGAGATGTGTCATATCGAGTAACCGTCAACAGTGTGGTGCAGTGTGTGTATGCATGAGTGTGTCTCCTGGAAGAGGTGATGCGAGAAGGCCATTAAGTGCTGCCTGGACTGACAGGTGACAGTAACACGGTAGAGAGAACACACATACAAACACACACACCCTGCCGGGGGCACTGACGGACATGAGAGCGAGGAAGACTTTGATCGCCGCACTGAGGCCACTCAACCGGAGAGGGCAGAAAAAGATCACACAGACAGAGAGAGAGAGAGAGAGAGAGAGAGAGGAGAGAGAGAGAGAGAGAGAGAGAGAGAGAGAGAGGAGAGAGAGAGGAGGAGAGAGAGAGAGAGAGGAGAGAGAGAGAGAGAGAGAGAGAGAGAAAAGTGATCTCTAACCTCTGTGCTCATTGATACAGATGTTAAAACAGGAACACATAGACACAAAGACACACACACACATCCATTTCTCCAGCCGTAACTGTTAGTGTCTGGGTGAGCGCGAGGTACTCAGGTAGATAAATCCCATTACTTTGTGTGAAGAGCCTAGGTAATTATGTTTGGCATTTTGACAAGTGTTTGTCGGCCTGAAGGTCAGCTCTGCGTGGAGAGAAGAGGGAAACCAGCGTTCTATAAAACCCATGGATATAAAACACAGATATTCTCCATTGGTGGTCTATGCTAATCTGCTCAACTGTAGGGAAGACAGAGACCAGCAATCTATAGTGCGGCTGTTATAAATATATACACTACCGGTCAAAAGTTTTAGAACACCTACTCATTCAAAGGTTTTTCTTTATTTTGACTATTTTCTAAATTGTAGAATAGTAGTGAAGACATCAAAACTATGAAAAAAAACATATGGAATCATGTAGTAACCAAAAAAGTGTTAAACAAATCAAATCAACTAGCCACCCTTTGCCTTGATGCCAGCTTTGCACACTCTTGGCATTCTCTTAACCAGCTTCACCTGGAATGCTTTTCCAACAGTCTTGAAGGAGTTCCCACATATGCTGAGCACATGTTGGCTGCTTTTCCTTCACTCTGCAGTCTGACTCATCCCAAACCATCTCAATTTGGTTGAGGTCGGGGGATTGTGGAGGCCAGGTCATCTGTCGCAGCACTCCATCACTCTCCTTCTTGGTAAAATAGCCCTTACACAAACTGGAGGTGTGTTGGGTCATTGTCCTGTTGAAAAACAAATGACAGTCCCACTAAGCCCAAACCAGATGGGATGGCGTATCGCTGCAGAATGCTGTGGTAGCCATGCTGGTTAAGTGTGCCTTGAATTCTAAATAAATCACAGACAGTGTCACCAGCAAAGCACCCCCACACCATAACACCTCCTCCTCCAAGCTTTACGGTGGGAAATACACATGCAGAGCTCATCCGTTCACCCGCACCGCGTCTCTCAAAGACACGGCGGTTGGAACCAAAAATCTCAAATTTGGACTCCAGACCAAAGGACAAATTTCCACCGGTCTAATGTCCATTGCTCGTGTTTCTTGGTCCAAGCAAGTCTCTTCTTATTATTGGTGTCATTTAGTAGTGGTTTCTTTGTGTTATTCGACCATGAAAGCCTGGGCTACCGAGTGGCGCAGCGGTCTAAGGCACTGCATCTCAGTGCTTGAGTCACTACAGACTCCCTGGTTCAATTCCATCTGGTTTGGCTGGTGTAGGCCGTCATTGTAAATAAGAATTTGTTCTTAACTGACTTGCCTAGTTAAATAAGGGTTAAATAAAAAAATCCCACAGTCTCCTCTGAACAGTTGATGTTGAGATGTCTGTTACTTGAACTCTGTGAAGTATTTATTTTGGCTGCAATTTCTGAGGCTGGTAACTCTGATGAACTTATCCTCTGCAGCAGAGGTAACTCTGGGTCTTCCAGTCCTGTGGCGGCCCTCATGAGAGCTAGTTTCATCATAGCGCTTGATGGTTTTTGCGACTGCATTTGAAGAAACTTTCAAAGTTCTTGAAATGTTCTGTATTGACTGACTTTCATGTCTTAAAGTAATGATGGACTGTTGTTTCTCTTTGCTTATTTGAGCTGTTCTTGCCATAATATGTACTTGGTCTTTTACCAAATAGGGCTATCTTCTGTATACCCCCACTACCTTGTCACAACACAACTGATTGGCTCAAACGCATTAAGAAGGAAAGAAATTCCACAAATTAACTTTTAAGAAGGCACACCTGTTAATTGAAATGCATTCCAGGTGATTACCTCATGAAGCTGGTTGAGAGAATGCCAAGAGTGTGCAAATCTGTCATCAAGGCAAAGGGTGGCTAATTGAATAATCTCAAATATAAAATACATTTTGAATTGTTTTTGGTTACTACATGATTCCATTTGTGTTATTTAATAGTTTTGATGTCTTCACTATTATTCTACAATGTAGAAAATAGTCAAAATAAAACCCTGGAATGAGTAGGTGTGTCCAAACTTTTGACTGGTACTGTATGCGTGTGTATCTTTCCCTGACTGAGGGGAAGGCAGTGTCTCAGTCTCTCCACATTCAAATCATATCTAAATTATTTATGTTATATATAAATTAGATCTCTGCCTATTGTCTCTCTCCCCCTGGCTCTCTCTGTCTGTCTCTGTCTCTGTCTCTGTCTCTCTCCAGATCTGCTCCAGATGGCCCCGGTTGCTGGCCCCTGTCGGTCCAGAGGACCCCAGCTCATTGACCAGGGCTGTGGTTCTCACGGCCTGGAACCCGGGGCACCCTGCTGAGCCCCTGGGGTCGACCAGCCATGACAGTCCAGACAAAGGGGTCACCCCACCGCCCAGCAGCCTATACATCTTCAACACAGCCACCCATCCTTGACCACATGGCATCCCGATCACTGTCTGAGCTTCATAGGGGGGCGAATGCAATCAGTGTGATATGTTAATGGTTGGAAGAGAAACACATACTTGTAGACCTAATAGAATAGAATAGTGTGCCATACTCATACATTATTCCATTGATAAGATTTGCCAATAGAATGCTGTGAAGCAATCTGTCCAGAGTAAGCAAAAAAAAATGAAGCATCATAAATTGCATATCCAATGATATGCTGAAATAAATATGTTCAAGAAGATGGAAGATAATACAAATTGCCTCAAAACAGGCATTTTCTTCCCAATAAAAATCCTTTAAAAAAACAGACAACATTTTCTTTTTCAGATGTTTCACAAATGCATGTAAATGTGTTTAACACTGTATGAATGATCTTGGCCCACATACAGTAATTGCTCTAAGGAAACAAAAAACAAACCATGCCTGTTCCCACCTATTCGGTTACTGTACACAGAAGAAAAAACTAAGAAGGGAAAATGAGAGGGGGATTACATTTCCCGTGGCTAAAGAAATGTTGGTTAGCAGTGAGCGTAACCAATTTTGACAGAACCAATTTCCCAAGTGAAGGTGATTTACATGTTTGCAGAGAAGTCTGAAGTATACAGCTTTTCACCACATTCAGAACCTCATTCTATCAGAGAGAGAGAATAAGAAGGAGAGAGAGAAAGAGAGAGAAAGAGAGAGAAAGAGAGAGAAAGAGAGAGAAAGAGAGAGAAAGAGAGAGAAAGAGAGAGCATGAGCGAATGAAGGAGCAAAAATAAAGTATCTTTAATGACACATTGCAACATCGTTTTTTACAGCTTCGTCGGCACTTCATCAAAACTTGAATAAATCATTTCCCTCGCAAATGATTAACACACGCACGCATGCACGCACACACACACAATAGCCTAGTAGTTTTGATAAAGCAGCCGCCTTATCTTTTGTTTTCAAGCCATGCGGGGATTAGTGAGCACAGGTCTTTGTCCACCGGTTTTCCAGTTGAGCAGAACACAAGAGCTCCTAGTAGCTCTTACCTTCACTAATACAGTGAGACCTTCGATTCTGCTTTTCACTCCTTATTCTACCAGTAAGTACCCACAGCCGAAAGATGGCATGGCTTTCATTGAGGTAGCAAATCTCCTCTTTATACTGTCCAGCTGTGTCTCAAATGGAACCATATTCCCTATATAGCACACTACTTTTGACCAGAGTTCATAGGGCTCTGGTCAAAAGTAGTGCACTATATAGGGAATAGGGTTCCATTTGGGATGCACAACTTGCTTTTCAATGGGATCTCTACCTATAAGAAGGATTTTCAATGGGACCTTTCTCTCCCTATATGATGGCTTTTCAATTACATATTTTAAACTGATCTAGTAGAAAGATATCAAAACACCTCACTCACATAGATGTATAATGTAATAAATAAACCTTATTCAATGCAAATGTATAATGTAAATGTATAATGTCATAACATGTAAAGATGAATAAATGTATTTTAAATGAATAGAGCTTAAGACATTCACAAAGACATGGAAAAAAAGTATGCATTTAAATGGCGCTATCTTTGACACAGGTCTATTCTCCAATCCCAATCAATGTGTTGTTGTTCTCTTCTGATTCTTTCCACTAAAAGGGGTTTCTATAGACGGTTGGTTGTTTAGCAACAAAACTGACACGTGCGCAACTATGGGGCAAAACAGACAGTGTTGGCTTGGACTGTTGAGAACATGTAAACTATATTTTGTCTCCAAATGTTTATTGAAAACAAATTCATTTGCACAATGAGCACTTGTCTCTCAAATACATTGTTACAGTTGTTGCTTAGCTAGCTAGAGAATTTTGACATCAGTCAAAACACCTCAAAACAAGACATGGTATCAATAACATGATACAACCGGCTAAAACGAGCCACCTACGACTCCCCACATGGCACCTTATTGTCATTGTTGCTAGCTATCTGACCGTTCAGAATCATAACAACGCACGCCTTCTTGCCAAATCAATGCACACGCATACTTTTTGTGACGTTTTCAGCCAACCCGTCTGTTGCTTTTTCAAGAAGAATACTCAGTATAGAGCTAAACTAAAGAAACACCTTACAGTTCCTCCATTTATTTTCCACAAACCTGGAAAACAGTCAATGGTCAACACACAAATAGACTGTTTCAACACACAAGGGTTTGATGTGTGTGTGTGTGTGTGCGTGCATACATATGTGCTTGCAAGTGTGCTTGCGTGCGTGTGTGACAAGTTCATCATGCGGCCATGTTGTTCATGCACAGTCACACAGAGGTCAAAGGTAGCCCAGGATTACCCAGGAGGGCGAGTGATTTGGCTGTCAGTTTGTGTTTCACATTCAACCCAGAGCATCTTCATTTCACTTCACAGTATGAATATTATAGGTTTAAAACATTCTAGAAAATAATTTATAATAATGCAGGATGATATAATTATGTGTTTGTCTTCGGTATACAAACTGAATGTTTTTATTATTCTAAATTGATCTATATACTACTATACTGTATATATGGCATATTATGTACATTTGTAAACATTTTAAATATATAGATTTCCTGTTAAATCTATACTTTCCCTGTTTCACTGCTAAATATAACATTCAGTATATTAGCTATACCAGGGATGGGCAACTTTGATAGGAGTGGGCCACAAAAAATCTGAACTCATCATGAGGGGCCGCAATGGCTCGGGGGTCTGCATACCCACATCCATACCGACACACGTAGTCAGAGCCAGCCCTAGCCTTTTGGGGGCCCTAAGAGAAAACATTTTTTTAGTTAATTTCCTGCAATTCTTGCCATGGGATGTAGAGAAAATTTTGCAGTTTTAAAGCAAGATTGCTGCAATTCTACACATTTTGCAATAGGTTAGAGAGAAATGTTTGCAGTTTTTAATTTGATATCTGAGTGAGAGTGAGTAACAAAATCAAAATCCCCCCAGTCGGTAATTCAACCATGATTACTACAAGTTCAGATAGCTGGCTAAACTAACTTACCAACCAACAAATGTTTAGCTGACATGGGGTAATTGAGTGACTTTCAGTTACTGAATTAAGAGAAAAACTGCTGATGCACAAACACATTTCGAAATTGCACCTTGTGTATTGTACTATTCTAACTCTCAACAATAAGTTTAGACCTTGACTGAGTTCCCAATTATTTAAATATTTTGTTGTTTTTGGAAAATGATCCACGGGCCTACAAAAGGGGGGGGGGGGGGGGGGGGGGGGGGGGGGGGAGTAGTGACAGTTGCCCATCCCTGTACTATGCATTGCCCAACTGAAACAGCGTGACTGTCTAAGTTGGATATCTAAGTATTCCTCCTGCCAGTTTAAAGGATGTCACGCTGCTTGCTTAGCGAGTACCACTTCCTCCTGATTCGGCCCATACCTGGCGCGAACTTCCGACCTCTGCCTTGCTAGTACATGTGACACCTCAAAAGCTAGCTAATGAGGCAACGCAAGCGGGACACTTAAGTCTGAGGAGTAAGTTTCACACATCCCCATGTGTTACACCAGGCAGCTGTCAGTCAGTCATTGGTATTCTGGTCGGCTGGATTCATAATTCATCAATAGTGGTCAGGATGCTGATCATGTTGACTTAACATTTGGTCTGACATTTCAGCCCAACTCGCTGCTGTCATTAGCTCTCCCCCCACGATGCCTAATCAACAGTCAAATCACTCCACATAGACACGGACAGACACGAACCAGCGCGCATGCACGCAGGCACACGCATGCATGCAGGCACGAACGCACACACACAGAAACACACACGCACACACCCAGAAGTATCTCAACCGAGTACTGATGGACGTACCCATAGGGGTCTACAGCACTAGAATCGTGGAGTAACTGTTATTCTGGTGCTTGCACAATCACAGCTTCAATACCCATGTAACACCAACCAATCCAGCCACCTTTTCATCATATTTCAGCCATCTTTATGTCTCAAATCACACTCAACCCATCTGTGAATCTGCAATTCACATGTGAGGTGAAAACATGTTATTCTCCTCACATGTGAAAAGGTGGTACTAACATGTAAACTCTAAATTTAATACAACAACTGACCTCACCTGCCTCTTTCTTTTTTTACATGTTAAAATTTCAGCGCAACATGTGAAAACTGTTATTTCACATGTGAAACTGCACATTTCACGTGTTTTGTTTGTAAGGGAATGAAATGACAAGGGGGTTTTAAAGTAAGTGGTACGCTGTTCAGCTAAAATAGTGTAAAAATCTATAATCAATGACAATATGACTACATTTGACATGATCACTTAGTACTGACTTTTCAATATGACCCCACCTAGGAATTGAACTCTCAACCTCTGGATTTGGGGTACGCTGATCTTTCTGCTGCGCTGCAAAGTCTATAGCATTCCTCTACACATTCATCACCTATAATACATCTCTCCACTTAACAAAATACTTCCATCTGCACTGCAATTTTAGTTAACAGTTAATCTGACTATTCTCTCATCATTCATTTCATTAGCAATTTGAATATTTTTCTGCATAGTTGTCTAATGTTGGTGGGGCACATTATTCTGTTTTAATGTTACTCCTCAATCACTATGATAAATATAATTGTTTTTCTTGAGTGTATTTTCAACAAATCTGAGATTGACTTTGAAGTCTAAAGTGTAGGAATACAGGTGAAATCAGTTATTGACACAAACATGGAGGCATAGCAGGAAGATCAGAATGCTGTGAAAGAAGAGGTTGGGAGTTCAAATCCCAGCTTCAAATCCCACAATAATTACATTTAAGTCATTTAGCAGACGCTCTTATCCAGAGCGACTTACAGTTAGTGAGTGCATACATTTTTCATACTGGCCCCCCGTGGGAATCGAACCCACAACCCTGGCGTTGCAAGCGCCATGCTCTACCAACTGATCTACAGGAGGCCTAATTAGTGTATACATACACAATGTAATCGTGTATGTCAAAGTGTGTCAAATATGTGAATTGAAAACCCTGTGACCGCGTGACATTCTGGGGAGATCCTAACTACAGATTTTTGTTTGCAGGGCATTACCTGTGAAATCTCGTGAAAAATATTGTGAAATGTGTGAAGATTTGAATCCACATGTGAAAGGTTATGTGATCACATTTGAAAATCCCACATGTGAAATACTTGTAAAATACCAAAAACACACGGTTTCACATGATTTCACATGTGATTTTCCACATGTGAAATCATGTGGTTTTTCCACAAGAGCCTTCTCCCTATTTCCTAGTGTTGATGTTGTAGCATCTCTGTAAATGAATAGGACAGAAACAAACCACTATATACCACCCAATAATTCAACAGTAGGAGACCGGTGCCAAATTCCACTGAATGAAACAACAGCACATTTTAGCCAATATAAAAAGGTTCCATGTGGTTTGTGTTGGTGTTGTTACTGTTGTTGTTCCAACCCCAATGTTATTGACTGTTGGACTGTTGCTCGCTGCTTCTCAAAGTCATTTTCAACCGAAGCAAGGGCGTCACACTCCCTTGTTGATCCAAGTTCAGACAATGCCAGCGGTGCGGTGTGGTGTGGTGTAGTGCGGTGCGGGAGCGGTGCATACTGAAATATCAAATCCTCTTTTTCACTCTCATCATGACACCTTTCTATCAGACCACATCAAACTGCCTGGCTTTACGACGACGAGCTTGTCTGAGCCTGTCCGTCAGTCTAGTGGATGTATGAGGAGAGCAGATGAAGCCCATCCAGGGTCACTCTCTACATCCCAAATAGCACCCTATTTCCTATATAGTGCACTACTTTTGACCAGAGAGTGCACTAAATAGGGAATAGGATGCCGTTTGGGGCGCAGCCTATGTATCTCAGTAGGAACCGCTTGTTATCCTGTGTGAAATTGATCCTCAATTCTGTCATTACACCATGTTAATAATCTTATAGACAAGGGCTTGTCCGGACTAGGGCACTGTAATATCTACACTATCTGGTGCTGTGGATCTGAGACTCTCATTTGTTCCGACAACGCGAATATGACAAAATGGTTTAGGTGGTGAAAATGAAATGAAGTACAATGGAGGTCACTGACACGAAGGGGTTCTTTAAGAAATAGAGCTAATAATGACTAAATGCTGTGTGGGTTTCTGTGCTGCATGGGTACATGCAAGTGTTTGTGTGAATCAACTATCAACTCTTCTCTGAGACTATTAGAGGTTTTACTGTATCTTCCTTCGATGTTGAAACCAATAAATGATGATCAACAGGATATCGGTAATGATTGGTGGGTGGATCTTGGAGGATATGGGCTGGTGTAAATGAGAGAGTGGACGTACCTGCAACGTGGGCCAGATCTTCAGTGCTGACATTATGAGGGTTGGAGCCCACCCTGAAGGTCACAGCTGGACCCAGCACTCTGAAATATAGAAGCAAAAGAGGCAAAGCTAGCTACACCCCAAAACTCAGTTTTCTTCAATTCAAAAGCAGACCGAGGTAGAAAAAGACTGAGAGACAGAGGACTAGAGAAGAGTAGAGAAAGACAGAGTGACTCCCTGAGAGCTTCAGCTACCAGCAAGCTTCAAATCACCTCACATCTTTAATAGCAGACATAGACACAGAGCCAGTGGAAGGGAGGGGGGTTGTTTTCTCTTTCTGTTTGAATTTGAACAAACACCCAACATGAAAGTGTGGCACCGTATTGCAGCTGAGAACCTTGTTCGCTTTTCCCCTCTGGCTACCCGTCTGTCTGCCCATCTAAGTCCCCACTGTCTAGCTAGTGAACTGAACACACTCCTCGCTCTCCAATGCAGTATACATGTTTAACTACGGTAATCATGGCCAAAATAGAGACTAACCAGACTGGACATGAAGAAATCCCTCCAGTCACAGTAAAAAATACAAATATATATTTGAAAAATATATCTACAGAAGCATAGCCCCAACTCGAGCAACAAACCCATCAGAGTAAAATCATTCTCCCAGACCAATAGGCAGAAAGCCAACAGCAATTGGTAAAACAAAATATTATGTAGGGTTTAATGGTGGTGTGACAAACTTGGGTCTAAGCCACAAACCAGGGGGGTTGTTGTATTGCAATACATTTTAAATAATATGGTACTAAGGTCTTTTACATCTTGCCAGGAAGAAAACCTTTTGCATGATTACAATATTATGATTCACAAGCCATTTCTTCTTCCAGCCCTACTGCCCTATATAAAAATCATGGATAATACCGAACGAATATTGTGTTACACCCTTAGAAACAAAGGTGCTATCTAGAACCTAAAAGGGTTCTTTGGCTGTCCCCATAGGAGAACCCTTTGAAGAACCCTTTTTGGTTCCAGGTAGAATGCTTTTGGTTCCAGGTAGAACCCTTTTAAGTTCCACGTAGAACCCTTTCCACAGAGGGTTCTACGTGGAACTCAAAATAGTTCTATCTGGAACCAAAAAAGGTTCTACCTGGAACCAAAAAGGGTTCTCCTATGGGGACAGCTGAAGAACCCTTTAGGAACGCTTTTTTTCTAAGAGTGTAGAGCAGTGGTTGATGGGAAAAGTCAGAATCCCAGGAAGCGTGAGGTGTGAAAGGGCATCGTTAGGTGAAGTGACCCCTCCCACCCCCAGTCACCATCAGACACCCCGCCTCCCCACTATGACCCTCATAAACCACCTTTATTCAGTCTGCATCCTAGATGGCATCCTATTCCCTACATAGTGCACTACTCTTGTCCAGAACCCTATGGGCCCTGTTCAAAAGTATTGCACTACATAGGGATGGTGCCATTTGGGACGTTCATCAAGTAATTTTTCACCCGTTGTGTTTGGCCTTGGAAGTCAATTTACTTCCAGCCTCTGTATAAACTGGGGGGAGATCCATCATTACACTGCCAGCCTACTGTAACCCAGCCTGAGAGAAAACCATCCGTCACAGCCGCCATCGGACACACGGGTTGCGTCTCAAATGGCACCCTAATCCCTATATAGTGCACACCTTCACTATATAGGGAATAGGGTGCGCTTTGGGATTAGGGTGCCCTCATGGACACAGCTTTGAATTAGCATCGAATTAGCAACTTTCCTCACTGTTACCTCCTTTTGTTAAAGAGAAACATGCTTCCTTTTAATGCCTTCCAGGGTTCAACATTAACGCTTGTCCGCTTGCAAGTAAAACAAATTGTCGGACAAGCAGATTATAGATTTAAGTTATCCGAATGGACTCAAGGTCACAACTGCAGGAGATATAATACTTGGGATCAAGGACCAGCAGCCTTCCATTGTCAATACCAGTGATAATAATGCATTTTATTTTGTGAAGTGGTTCCTTGCATGATACAGCACAACTTTCTGTCACCGTTTTTTATTTTTTTATGTGACTTGAGCTTTATGAAACGTCTCTAGACGTCTCTAGAACATTCATAACTTATGTCCTGAGAACATGGCAGCTATGTTCTGTGGTGGGACGTTGATGGAATATTTTCCTAACCCTCCCAAAAACTGGGCACATTAATGTTCTTGCAACGTTCCCATATTCTCCTAAACCTCAGAAAACTGGACACAGGAATGTTCTTGCAACATTCTCATGAAACGTGTCTAGAACACTAATATCTTATATTCTGAGAACAAGGCAACTATGTTCTGTGCATGTTTGGTGGAACGTTGATGGAATATTGTCTTAACCCGCAGAAAACTGGACTCACAAATGTTCTTGCAACGTCCCATATGTTCTTGCAACGTCCCATAACATGTCTAGAACATTAATGTTGTTTTTGAAAACATTGTAAACACGTTCTGCTTGACATTAAGGGAATGTTCTCCTAACTTTAATGCTAAAAAGGTTCTCAGAAGGTTTTTGCTAACATATATAGAATGTTCCCCTAACTAATGGAAAACTGGACACTCAAACATTATTGGAACATTACGGGTAATATTTCAAAAATGTTCCCTATAATTGTTAGCTGGGAAGTGGCTAAAAAAGTTAATGTCAAGCCCTGCCTTCACCTGACTTCTGTATGCTCTGTCAAATGTCAATATTTTCACAATCTCTCCCACATTCTTCCTGGTGCCCATGGAATCTAGATGCATCTCAAATGAAACAGTCGTGTTTTTCTTCCTAAAATAATTTTCTAAATATACTCGCGAAAAAATAGTACTTCAGGGTGATTGAGTTGGATAAGTTATCTACCAAACTCTGCTGTGTAATCAAATGGGGTTTATAAGCTCAGTGCTCATATTAGCTTAGTTGAGGGAAGTGTGTGTGTTTGTTTATGCATGTGTTCGTCCGCGTGTCTGTGTGTACACATGTGTGTTCGTGCTTGTGCATACATTGGTGTGTGTTTGGGTGTGTCCATCAGTTCACCAGGTTCAGTTCAGTTCAGTTCAGCGTACCTCAGTGTCTAAGGAGGCCACTCCCCCTAGTGTCTATGATCAGTAAAACATTTACGTCATCTCTATAGAGCAAAGAACATGACCATAGGCAAAGTAAAGTGCTGTTTTTATACTTTTTACATAACAGTATCCAATGTAGAAACTTAAATCCATCCAAAACATGCACCCCGAAGCTAAACCACCTCATTTGTATTATGATAATATTTTCATACGGCTCATATCCTCTCCTCTTTGGAGTATCTCTTTTCACCTCATTCAATCTCATGCCGGACACATACAGAGAGAGAAGCCTGAAATGGTGCACTATGTAGGTAATAGGGTTCCATTTGGGACGCAACTGGGGCGTCAGTGTGTTCTGACCCTCACTAGCAGCCAGAGTTGGCTCACATCGAGACGGGTGCTTCATAGTCTCACCTGCTGAGCATACTGGAGAGAAACACAATGAGCTCTGGCTCCCATCACCGACAAACAGACGGCCATCATTACTCAATAAATACGCTTCTAGCACAGCACATTTAGTCAAAAAGGAGGGAAAAACAGCGCAGACAAAGGGTACATTAGCAGGCATCTATATCCCTGTATATCGGTCTCCTGGAACAGAATACATAGGAGCTAGCTATCATCTCGGTGTGGCACAATAGAGCCAGTCTGAGACCAGCCACCCGGACAGCTGATGAAACTGAGGAGTATTTCTGTCTGTCATGAAGCCCTTTTGTGGGGAAAAACTCATTCTGACTGGCTGGGCCTGGCTCCCCAGTGAGTGGGCCTATGCCCTCCCAGGCCCACCCATGGCTGTGCCCCTGCCCATTCATGTGAAATCCATTAATTAGGGCCTAATGAGTGTATTTCAATTGACTGGTTTCCTTACATGAACTGTAACTCAGTAAAATAATTGAAATTGTTGCATGTTGCGTTTATATTTTTGTTCAGTATATATAATATAAGCCATTAAGCAACCTCTTTTATCCAAAGCGACTTACAGTCATGCGTGCATACATTTTATTTTTATATGGGTGGCCACAGCTGGTCCTTGGCAATGCAAGTGCCATGCTGAACTGAGCCACACAGGACCACAATGTAGATAACATGTCATCTTTAACTCCCAAATAATGGTACTAAGCACCTGAATAGCAGTAGGCATCTATAGAAACAAGGCATACTGTTTGCCCCTCTGGCATCTTGCATATGATACTGTTCTGTGAGAAGCACCCAGACTCGCCTTCTCCTGGAATAGATGCTTGAAAGGCTTGTCAGACTCAGTTCGTACATGTCTCCTCTGCCTCCTACATGGTCTGGTTCCAGCAGCACAGAACTACCACGAAAAACTAGCTGGGTTCAAGGATAGTTCACCTAGTCAATAATACATTAACACTGCTATCTCTCTCCAGCGGGATTCTGTGTGAGTGTGTGTGCGCGCGCGCACGTGTGTGTGCTTGTGTCCGTGTGTTAATGCATGTGTGCGTGCATGCTTATGTACTTGCGTGTGTGAGCGGGCATGTTTCTCAAGTGTTTTCACAACAAAGACCATATTGTTAAGAAACATGACGGTTTTATAAATGTGTTTAGAGGCATCAACAACAATAAGACAGAGAGGTGAATCCAATAGAGACATCCGAATATGACTGTGTCCCTATGGGCCCTAATCAAAAGTAATGCACTATACAGGGAATAAGCTTCCATTTGGGATGCATCCTATATGTGGAGGTAATTAGAGTTGATTTCTCTTTCCAGAGGAACACAAACACACAAAGGTCAGAATAACTGAAAACGCCTCCACACTCCGCTACTGCACTGCAGGAGTAGCTTCACACACAGTGCCTACTGTTTCTGGAGTCCTGGACAATCTTTATTCTGTTCCCTGAGCTTACATTGGAGATTTTTATTTTCAACATCTTCCTCTTCAGAATTTTAAATTGTATTTTATTTTAGACCAGGGGTGTCAAACTTAATTCCCAGAGGGTCGTGTGTCTGCTGCTTTTTGTGATTTCCTTTCAATATGTGTCAATTTAAAGCAGTGTTTTCTCACTATATTTTGTAAGGGGGCCAATTTGGGTTGAGACAATCATTCAGAGGGCCGCACAGATCTTTAATTTGTTGTACTTTTTCTTCCAATATTATCAATTATCAATTGAGAGCAAATTCAGAGCAATAGAGCACATGCAATTGATTTGATGTACAGCACATCACAAATATATACATACACACATCAAATAGGCTAAATCACATGTATAAGACCCATATTAAGGGCTACCTCAGTAGTTGGATGAGCGAAAATGTCCCTTCTGCTCCTTGACTGAATTCATTCTAAATGTGTAGACTGTTGTGGCTATCCTTGTGAGGCAATCCAGGTGTGTATTGGTCAGTCTGTTCCTCTGATGTTCATTGTTGAAAATGTTGCTTCACATGAATAAGTGCTGACAAAAAATAAGTGCTGACTTTCAGAAGTGGATACTCTGTGTCTGACACAAGGCTCCAGAAATGGGTAACACCTGATCTTAGTTCACCTTGCAATGTGTCATTTGCCTGCAGCTCCACTATCTCACTCTCTGTTCCAGCACTGTCAGGACAAGGGCTGTGATGACTGGGGTCAGAGATGACACTGGCACATGAAAGGGGTTCTCAATGAAGTTGAAAAACTCTTTGTACTCCATGATATCCTTGAATCTTGACTCAAACTCCAACTTCAACTCTTCCAACACACGCACAAATGCATCATAGCTAAAATGTTGCAGTATGTCTGGGTTTGATGTGGTGACTGCTCTGAGTTTTGGGAAATGAACAAACTATCTGTCAGGTATGAACAGTGTGGTGATTTTATTTTGAAATGCTGTGAACACACGCAGAATTTTGCCCGGAGTTTTAGCTTTCCCTTGGAGCTGGAGATTCACTGTGTGATGTAAGTTAAAAAAGCCAGCTTTAATATCCACTGTGGATCATCCAGCTCTGGCTCCCCTCTCCCCTTGCTTGCAACAAATTCACGGATTTGAGGGAGGAGAGAGAGAAATATTTCAAAAACTCTGCCACAAGATAGCCATCTCACCTCATTGTGAAATATCAAGTCACCGTATTCTGTCTGGTATTCCTCCAGCAACTTGCGGAATTGCCGGTGATTCAGTGACCTCGCAATAATAATGTTCACCACGCGCACGACTTGCTGCATCACATTCTGTAAGTCACAGTCTTTGAGTTTAGCCACAAGTGCTTCCTGATGAATGATACAATGAACCGTTAACAAATTCGGGAATATCGTCTCGCTTTCTCATCAGGCCTATGAGTCCCTTCTCCTTCCCTCGCATGTTTGGGGCGCCGTCAGCGCACACAGATGTAACAAGGGCTTTCAGAATATCCTCTCCTCATGTTTGTCCCTGAAGGGGCAGTAAACATAAAAGTTCCTCTCTGAATGACTCGTTTTGAGGGAAGCGGACCCAAACACATAATTGGGCAACGTCACTTATATCAGTGCTTTCGTCAAGCGCAATACTAAAACACGGCACCACGGATATGTCAGTAATCAGTTGCTTACCGATGACCTCGCCGATGTCTTCTATGCATCTTGTTATGGTGGAGTCTGAGAGTTGCAGTCCCTTAGTTTGCTTAAAATATCTTCCTTGTTTGTGAAATCAGCATACAATATTTTGTCTGAGGCCAAAAAACATTGTCTGACAATCTCTGCGTCTGTGAAGGCCTTCTTGTTTCTCGCTAGTATCCAAGCAATCTCATTTGTTGCCTCTGTCGTTTTCTCTGCAACAGTGCTAGATCTGTCCATCATTTGTTGTTGTCCTTTGAGCTGTCCTTTGAGTTGCGCAATTTTTTTGTTTCTGAGGTTGCTTTGAGGCGGATATGTTTTGTCAAAGTGGGCATGGTGTGACTGGAAATGTGTCTCTAAATTTGCTTGTTTAAAACAATTGACTGCCTTCTGGCAATCTGCAGTTGCTATATCCATTTTAGGACTTGAAAGTAATGATATATATAGCCATTGATTCTAGAAGAATATAAGTCATAAATGCCTCATGAGCTTAGTGAATCTCTCTTACCCCACCAGAAACCAAAATATAAACTTGTTTTACTCCAAAGGATGTAATGTAAACAAAGTAACTGTAAACAAACACAGCTTCAAAACATCGTTTGAAGTATCATTTAGATTTCATGGATGGTCAGTCCTTTCATCCATAGCTCCGTCTATGAATTTCAGAGTGGTTATATTTCTCCAGCCCCATCCTTGAGCTGTTTATCAAAACAGTGGCTGGGTGCGCACTTTCTTATTGTTTAAACTGTAGATTGCCCCTTTAAGACATAGACAACCAGATGAGGGGAGTTTCTACCCAATCAATGACCTTCATTGATCAATCAAGTACAAGGGAGGAGTTTGACTCCCCTGGTTTAGAATGTTATGTCAACAATACTTTCCAGTCCCACTCATCAACAACAACAACAACACAAGGTGTGTGTCCTGTAATACATACGAGAGGTGGAGGATGTCGGCCACATGGAGGTTGATCCTCCGACCAACATGTTCCATCAGGTCCAAGCCCTGGTCAGAGGTGAGGGAGCTGGGGGGAGGGCAGACAGAGAGAGACCAGGGTATCAGACATGAAGCTGCTTTATATTACAACCAACCAGTCACAGAACCGGCAACAACCAGCCCTATTAGCATGGCTGGGTTTCCACATCGCACTTACATGTACATAAAATAACAATTAAGACACACACAACCAAGCTCGCATACACACACAATGTACAGATGTGCACACACACACACACACACACACACACATTATAGATGTGCATGCATACACGCATGCACGCAAGCACACAAACGCAAGCACACACACAAACAGCCTTGCACCAGTGGAATAGGGATCAGGTGCATCTTCGGGCTTGGTAAATAACCTGCATTTTCCAGCAATGAGACAAGCAATAAGGTGCAAATGGAGCCCGTGTGAGGTGTAATGGCTGTATCATATAGGCGTGCTTCACTCACACTCTCTCTCTCACACTCACACACACACGCACGCACACACACACACAGAGTGAGACGAATAATAATGTGAAAATGGAATGGATGTGTGAAAGTGTAATGGCTCCATGATAAAGCCATGCTCCATCTGAGCTCAGTCCAGTGGCTGCTCTCTCACTCAGAGAGGAATTCGCCCAAGGAAACAGAGTCTGAATCCCAAATGGCACCCTATTCCCTACATAGTGCATTACTTTTGATCAGATCTATGGGACTTGGTCAAAAGTGGGCACTGTACAGGGAATAGGGTGTCATTTTGGACTTAGCCAGAGCAAACAAAGGCATTTTGTAGGCGGATGCTCTGTGTGCAAGAAATTACAGGGCTAAACACAGATCATTGGAGTGAAAGATTACATATAAAGTGCCTTCAGAAAGTATTCACACCCCTTGACTTTTTCCACATCTTGTAGTGTTACAAAGTGGGATTCAAATTTAATTGTCTTTTTTTTTGTCAAAGATCTACACAAAATACTCTGTAATGTCAAAGTGGAAGAAAAATGCTAGAAAATATATATTTATTTGTTTTTCTCGATTACTTGAGCACATTTGTTCAAACAGAATTCACTTTTTCAAAACAATTAACACACAGCCCCAAACTGAAACACGTTGGCCAAAATGACACATTTCATTTGCAAAATGCATTAAGACTCTCAAAACATTAAATACATGACACAAAATCAACTACCTCCATCAAAACATACAACTTGTTCTCTAATTAAAAGTTATTTCAATCAATTGTCACACAATGGCCCAATAAAACTATCAATATACCCTAACATGGTTAACCCTCTTTTATATGTCTGTGCCATTTGTTGATACTATAATTATAGTATGCACCATAAAAGGTTAGTAAATATATTATCACAGCATGAGCTGTATTATTTTTTCCTAAAATGATTTTACCAAAGATGACCAATGCAGAAAGAATGTCACTCAAGAGCATGAATATCCAGAAACAAAAGGGTTTATTTGACCTTTTCCCATTTTAACTGAGAGCTGAACTATCTTCCTCTATGGGCCCCTCTACCTCTCCTTTGTCCTTGCCCTTGGCCTCTTAGTCCATTCTTGCAAACAACAACTCAGAGCTGACCTCTTTTATGCATGAATAAGGACTGATTGCTGATTGAACAATTGTGCAAAGAAGTTTGCAGAAGAGTGCAGTGGTTCACATTCATGGGAGTCATTTATATCAGCTGTGACAAAATATTTGAAATTTGTTTGTCATGATTTACTCAACTGAGCTTTGCGTCTTTTGTAGAGAGTTGTGTTTAATGTTTTGCAAAAACGTGCTTAGCATTAGCATTGTGTGTAAAAGCAATGAGAAATGACTTACGGTTTTAGAAAAAATAATACTGTTGTGCTCATTAGGTTATGATGGAGATCAAGTGGACCCCAGTTTCATTAAATGTATTTTAGCGATCAAGAAAAACTGTAATGGAAAATAAAACACTAATATATCTTGATTAGACAAGTATTCAACCTGAGTCAATACATGTTAGAATCACCTTTGGCAGCGATTACAGCTGTGACTCTTTCTGGGTAAGTCTCTAAGAGGTTTGCAAACGTGGATTGTACAATATTTGCCAATTATTCTTTAAAAAATTTGACAAGCTCTGAAAGGTTGGTTATTGCTCATTGCTAGACAGCCATTTCCAAGTCTTGCCATAGATTTTCAAGCCAATTTATGTCAAAACTGTAACTATGCTATGCCAGTCAGGAACATTCAGTGTTGTCTCTGTAAGCAACTCCAGTGTATATTTGGCCTTGTGTCTTAGGTAATTGTCCTGCTGAAAGTGTCTGTTAGAAAGCAGAATTAACAAGGTTTTCCTCTAGGATTTTGCCTATGCTTAGCTCTATTGCGTTTATTTTTATCCTAAAAAACTCTCTAGCCTTGCCGATGACGAGCATACCCATAACATGCTGCAGCCACCACCATGCTTGAAAATATGAAGAGTGGTACCCAGTGATGGGTTGTGTTGGATTTGCCCAAAACATAACGCTTTGTATTCAGGACAAAAAGTTCATTTGTTTTGCACAATTTTTGCAGTATTTCTTTAGTGCCTTATTGCAAACAGGATGCATGTTTTGGAATAATGTATATTCTGTACAGGCGTCCTTCTTTTCACTCTATCATTTATGTTAGTATTGTGGTGTAACTACAATGTTGATACATCCTCAGTTTTGTCCTATCACAGCCATTAAAGTCTGTAACCATTTTAAAGTTACCATTGGCCTCATGGTGAAATCCCTGAGGGTTTTCCTTCCTCTCCGGCAACTGAGTTAGGAAGGACGCCTGTATCTTTGTAGTGACTGGGTGTATTGATACACCATCCAAAGTGTAATTAATAACTTCACCATGTTCAAAGGGATATTCAATGTCTGCTTTTTATTTTACTTTTACCCATCTACCAATAGGTGCCCTTCTTTGTGAGGCATAGGAAAACCTCCCTGGTCTTTGTGGTTGAATCTGTGTTTGAAATCCACTGCTCGACCGAGGGACCTTACAGATAATTATATGTGTGGGTACAGAGATGAGGTAGTCATTCAAAAATCATGTTAAACACTATTATTGCACACAGAGTGAGTCCATGCAACTTATTATGTGACTTGTTCAGCACATTTGTACTCCTGAACTTATTTAGGCTTGCCATAACAAAAGTGTTGAATAGACATTTCAGCTTTTAATTTTTCAATAATTTGTAAACATTTCTAAAAACATAATTCCACTTTGACATTATGGGGTGTTGTGTGTAGATCAGTGACATAAAATCTCAATTGAATCAATTTTAAATTCAGGCTGTAACAACAAAATCTAGAAAAAGTAAAGGGGTGTGAATACTTTCTGAAGGAACAGTACATTATGTAGACTGCACAATATATCGTACAGATTATGCATCATCTTTCTTGCTTTTTGGGGGGTCTTTCTTTTGTCATATGTTTTGCCTTTAAAGGATTAAAGGACTTTTGTAAGACTAAGATAATATTGGGTTAAAAGAGACCGTACCAACCAATAACAATACACAAAATTGTAAATCTAAACTGGTGTGCATCCTCAGATAGTTTACTGGCCAGATAGTTTACTGGTGTAACATCCTCAAATATCGTATTACATCTATCACCATGAGGTACTTGATTTACTCTACCTTTAAGAAAGTGAGATTCTCTTTGTTTCTGTTTTGAGAGCTTTAGAAAGTTAAAGATTCAACCAAGTGATTCAAGACACGTTCGGCTCCCTCTGCTGCAATTCTAATAACTGGAGAGCTGCAGGAGTGACTTGGTTGTTGATGCTAGCACTTTTCCTCTTGGTTCTCTTTCTCACATCCCCCCACCACAATGTCAGGAGCTGTCAGATAAGCGAGTTAGCCTGGCCCCACTGCGGGTGGGGAAGGAGGTGGGGATAACAACTGTGCAATCATCAGGTCTGCAGCAAACTCTGGAGACCGCGGCAGGCAGGTTCCTGCTAGCTACAGCAGCATCGGGCTGGGGATGCAGGAAGAGGGGGAGGAGAAGGAGGAAGAGAGAGAGAAAAGTCTGGAAGGTGAACTGTTCCTCTTGTCTCCCCTGACTGTGTGTGTGTGTGTGTGTGTGTGTGTGTGTGTGTGTGTGTGTGTGTGTGTGTGTGTGTGTGTGTGTGTGTGTGTGTATGTGCGTGCGTGCGTGCGTGCGTGTGGGCGCACGCGTGCAGTGGTGTGTCTGAGATGTGGCCCATCATGGCCAGTGGCGAGCGCCCCCCAAGAAAGCGAGAGGCGTGCTATTGAACAGGTAAAGGACAGCGCTCTGACACTCTGCCTGATAACGGCAGAAAGGGATTTGAGAAAGTGCCACGGGCGAAACACAGTCGATAGAAACCTATCTTGCGGTGAGCCGAGTGGAGACTGACTCTGGTGCCCTTTGCTGATACCATATCATCATTAACGCTGTAATACGGTGCGGTAATACCCACACACCTAAGGACTTATCATCACAGCTATTGTGCCCAAGTGCACCACCAAGGATATCAAGCGATCATTCTCTATAAAAAGAAAACGTTTGTATATGTCTGGGATGTTTTGAAAGATGTATGGTTTTTCAACAGTAGCCTGAATTTAGGCAACAAAGATTGCTTCAGGTCTATATTAACCACAGTATGCCCAACAATAAAAAAATATATGAGGTGAATAGAGAAAACAGGAAACACACAGAGCTGGAGATAACTGCTCATTGTGAAGTGAGAGTATAAAGACACATTATGTTTGGTAAATGGCAGCAAGTATAATCTTCACCATACTCACTCTGTGTCTGTAATGATGTAGCCAAAGTCGCTGTGGTGGGGTTTCCCTCGCAGTGACTTTGAGTAAGCTTTGACCCCCATATGCACCACCTCCTCCTCCTGGAGTCGAATGTCCTGTTTCTGTGGTTCTGCTAGGAGATTCTTCTTCTGTGGTTTATCTACCAGGACGTCTGTCTCAGCCTCCGGAGGGGGTAGCTTTGGTACCGTGGTTCCACCTCTCCACCTCAGAGTCTACAAGGGATTCAGAACCCTGGACATCCATCGGTTGGTCTGGAGATCCAACCTTTCCTCCTATGGCCATGTTCCTCTCCTCCCAGGGGTGTGGTACAGGTACCTGGCCCTGTGTGGTCCTGCTTCTCACATTCTCCAGACCCACTGTTCTCTGGCCCTCAATGGAGGGGCCGCCTGCTGCTACTGGGGCCCCGGCACCATCAACCTCCATCTGGGCATCTGGCGCATCACTGAAGGGGTCCATGTTGAGGTACTCCAACAGCTTACTGACGAAGCCTGGGTCCTGTGGTAGGATATGATAACCATAGACATAGAATCACTTCTAAAATGGCCACCAGTCCACCCATTACAGACCCATTGACTTGAATGGGAATACCCTTTCTAGTGATTCTATTTCTATGATAGCAACAAAAGTCTCAAACACCATGATTGTGTAATGAAACCATAAAAAGTAGTGCACCTAAACTGAAATCTGGTGTTTGGAGGGTGTTTGAATGTAAACCCAATGCAAGTGTTTTAATACTCAGAATGTTTTTTTTTAAACAGAAATATAGAACTCTGAAACACCCAAAGTGATTCTTCAACCTGAATATTGGTGTTTTTATGAGAGCGTTGTGAAAACACTTTTTGGGGTTTCAGTGCATGTAAAAGGCAGTATCAAAACACAAAAACTGTGTTTCTCATACAATCAATGGTTCAGAAATGCAAATGGTTTATAGCCTAAATTTTGACTGATGATAAGGGCCTATGGAGAATATATTTTGTGGAATTCCACATTTTTTTTAATGCTTTATTTTAACAGATTAGAAACAGGAGGGGCAGTAAGATGGTACATTTCGTTGAGATTTTACCCGCACAGCCATTCTAAGAAATTATTCTGGGTCGAATTGAAATAGAAAAAAACATACACTTAACGAATATGTGCAGAGCCTGTGGTCTAGCAGTAACGCACCCGGCTTAGACATGTCACCCCTCTCCCCACCGAAGACCGGGGTTAGATTCCCCACTCCAACCCTTCAATCTGTTTCTCCCACCTATCTGTATCCGCTATGTCATATCATAACTGTGTCAAAATATATTAGAGAGAAGTTATGCAAGTCGTTTCAATATCATTTTAACAAAATAATGTAAATCTTTCATTAGGATAACCAAAGAGAGACAATAAATTTACATTTTTTTAAATAATTTTTTTGATTAATTGATTGAACTCATTGGAAGTCTTTGGTTGTAATCTCCTTGCATTTCCTATCTTGCCACGTGAATGTTTTTAGAGGATTGTGGGTAATTCAACCTTTTTAGACTTTATGATTCTTTCACAAATTTTGTATAAATGTTTGAAGAAAGTATATTTATATTTTAATATTAAGCTTGTTGTGCCATGAGGTGTAATGGGTCATGATGAACGGATATAAAAACCGTCAGGCAAATTGACCTTCAATGAGGACAGTACCCATTCCCATATTCATGCCTGTCAGTGGAAAGTGCAGTTCTATCAGGTTAATTGCCAGTTATTGGTTTGAACCCTGTGCTTGACAATGCCTGTCGAGATGGTATATAACGTCAACTCAAACGCATAAGACAATGTTGAACATTAAGACACTTAATATAAAGGGATATACTTCTGCACTAGACAGGATTCATAACATCGTAATGGTGTTTAGAAGCATTAGAGCACATGTCAAACTCATTCCATGGAGGTCCGAGTGTCTGCGGGTTTTCGCTCCTCCCTTGTACTTGACTGAAGAATGAAGGTCACTCATTAGTAAAAAGACTCCCCTGACCTGGTAGTCTAGGTCTTAATTGAAAGGAAAAAACTAAAACCTGCAGACACATGGCCCTCCATGGAATGAGTTTGACACCCCTGCGTTAGAGAGAGGAAACGAACCATGTCATGTTTCAAAACATCTCAGGATGATGTGTTTCAATACTCCAGCAAATGTAAGGTTTTGTCTCCTTCAAGTTGGTGGAAGCTCAGTTGCCACTCGTTTTGGTGTTACAAAGCACTTCATTTTAACAGTGTGTTATCTATTTTACTGCAAAGGTTTTGCTTTATAAGAATAGTAAACCTATTTTTAAAGGGTGTTGTTCCATTACATAGTATAATAGTGTGTTTCCATTAAGTCTGAGGGTTTAAAGAAGAGATTAAATGAAAGTTCAACGTCAACTATTATTAACTCTTTCTTTTCCTTCCTTTCAGACATTATTCTGTTTCGACAGATACACTGGTTTCAAAATGGTGACTGAAATGTCGAAGCAAACAAATATAGCAAATATTTAATAGGAAACAGACAAGACAGAAAACGAGTTTTACAAACCTGATATTTTTATAAGAATCTCTTTGAAATCACAGTGAACAGATTGATATTCCTTCAGTTGAAAGTGGTAATTTACCTTCACATGTCTTTCATTAGTGGTCTAGTTTTATATAGTCCTTTCATCAATGAGTGGCAATTTAAGGAGAGTTTGCAAAAAATATTATGTGAATTAGACCTACCTTGTCATCTGCATCCTCCATTGGTTGCCCTGTAAAAATCAGAATGTGTGAGGAGAAAACATCCACAAGAGGAAATACAAATTCCCATTGTTTTCCACAAAACTGTGGAAAATTATGCTTGCTAAAGTGAAGGCTTTACGGCTAATAACCAAACAATCTAAAACATTTCCACACAGGTTTTACTTTACTTTCACCCTGGTGATAAATGCAAGTGTACCTTTATGTCTGTGACTATAATCTCTTGTGGACAGTCTACGTAACATAAATGGTACTGTATCGTTAAGTCTGGGGCGGCAGGTAGCTTAGTGGTTAAGAGCATTGTGCCAGTAACCGAAAGGTTGCTGGTTCTAATCCCCGAGCCGACTAGGTGAAAAATCTGTCGATGTGCCCTTGAGCAAGGCACTTAACCCTAATTGCTCCTGTAGGTCACTCTGGATAAGAGCGTCTGCTAAATGAAAATAAAAAAGGTGTCTGCATCTTTTGAATTTTGGAAGGGGAGGGGACATTTGGCCCATAGACTTGACTGGAACTTGCAGAGAGAGGCGGGTGGAGCTACCTTCCTGCTTCAGCTCCTCGTTCTAGTCTTTCCCCCATAACCTATTTGAATAGTTGGCGTAAGATTTTTGTTCTGGGTTGCCCAGATTAGTCTGACCATTTTTTTGTGAAATATGTGCTGTGATATACACTGAGTGTACAAAACATTAAGGACACCTGCTCTTTCCATGATACAGACTGACCAGGTGAATCCAGGTGAAAGCTATAATCCCTTATTGGAGACAGGTTAAAGAATGATTTTTAAGCCTTGAGACAATTGTGTATGAGTGCCATTCAGAGGGTGAATGGGTGAGACAAAATATTTAAGAGCCTTTGAACAGGGTATGGTAGTAGGTGCCAAGCGCACCGGTTTGTGTCAAGAATTGCAACGCTGCTGGGTTTTTCACTCTCTACAGTTTCCTGTGTGTCAAGAATGGTCCACCACCCAAAGGACATCCAAACAACTTGACACAACTGTGGGAAGCATTGGAGTCAACATGGGCCAGCATCCCTGTGGAACGCTTTTGACACCTTGTAGAGTCCATGCCACAATGAATTTAGGCTATTCTGAGGGCAAAAGTCTTCGCAAAAGGCTTCGGTGCAACTCAATATTAGGAAGGTGTCCTTAATGTTTTGTACACTCAGTGTATATTGCATATAAGTGAAGTGTGGTATGTCTTGTGATGTATTACTATAATGTATGTACCCCAGGAATGTTGCCAAGCAAATTTCCCTATGGGACAGGAAAGTATTCATTCATACCTTGAAGCCTTGCATCTTGCCCCAACATGTCGTTTTGGTCCTCCTCATCCTGGTCCTTGGAAGGTAAGGGCTCTCTCTTCATCTGTCTGTCCCGTATGGGTCCCATGACCCTGGGCTTAGCTCTGGCTCCAGGCCCCTCCCCATCCACCACATGCAGGGCCTCAGAGATGATGTCTGCCAGCTGTTTCAGGTCTTTACCCATCAAACCGTCCATGTTTACTCTCTGCCTTCCCAGCTGGTTGACCATGTTCTGGATGAACCGTTCTGAGGGAGAGGGTAGAAAGGAGGAACACAGAGAAAGGGACATTTGAGATCCACTATAACTGTCCAGTAGCTTTGATATTCACAGAACTACGGTTGCCTCTAAATGAATAAAATATCATAAAATAACTTAGAAATTCTCTTTTTTTGTGTGTGTGGATCCACTACAAATGAATCTGATGTTCACAGAAGCACACAGGACAGTGCAAACACAAATCATTGTGGAAAAAAGAGGACCTTACCATCCACCGTACTGAGCTGTTCCTTGGGCAACTGATGGTTGGAAACAGCCTTGAAGAGAAGCCTGTCTATGTTGGGCCTTGGAGGTTTGGAGCCACTGCCACCAAGTCGTGTCTGGGGTTCCACCTGACCACCAGAGCTTACAGGGCTGACATAGCTGACATAGTGGAGCTTCCCCTTGGGTCCCACCACTGATCCCACCACTGCCCCTGGTACTGGGCGGCTCTGGGTGTGTGCTGCCCCTGACAGGTAGCGCTCCAGCTGGGCAGCCAACCCCCTGGCACTCCCCCTGGCACTCCCTGGCTGCTGGCTGGAGTAGGCTGTCTCCACTGGGGGTCTCCAGCTTCCCACGGCCCCCTGTGTGAAGACCTTACCCCCCTGGGGCGGCTCTGCAGACTGCAGACTGTCAAACGTAGACTTTCCCTTCTTGGGCTGGAAGTCTTCATTCTGTAACACAACCATGTTTATCAACTGCCCTTGAAAATTGCATATGGAAATTCTAAAGAAGATAGTGTCACTCAATAGCCATTTTGTGCATTTTCAGAACAGATTTTCAAAAACACTTATCTCCCCCATCAAACAGAGCACCACTAGCTTCTCGTAAACCAACCTAGAAACTACTGCATTAAAGCAGTAGATTCAAAAGAAAGACATTTGACAATGAGAAGCATTAACAATATATACACCACCGTTCAAAAGTTTGGGGTCACTTAGAAATGTCCTTGTTTTCCATGAAAACATACATGAAATGAGTTTGAATAGGAAATATAGCAAAATGCAGGTTAGAAATAATGATTTTTAATAGAAATAATAATTGTGTCCTTCAAACTTTTCTTTCGTCAAAGAATCCTCCATTTGCAGCAATTACAGCCTTGCAAACCTTTGGCATTCTAGTTGTCAATTTGTTGAGGTAATTTGAAAAGATTTCACCCCATGCTTCCTGAAGCACCTCCCACAAGTTGGATTGGCTTGATGGGCACTTCTTACGTACCATACGGTCAAGCTGCTCCCACAACAGTTCAATAGGGTTGAGATTTAAATTTTTTACATTTTTAGTCATTTAGCAGACGCTCTTATCCAGAGCGACTTACAGTTAGTGAGTGCATTCATTTTTTTTGTTTTTCTTTCATACAGATCCGGTGACTGTGCTGGCCACTCCATTATAGATAGAATACCAGCTGACTGCTTCTTCCCTAAATAGTTCTTACATAGTTTGGAGCTGTGCTTTGGGTCATTGTCCTGTTGTAGGAGGAAATTTGCTCCAATCAAGCACCGTTTACAGGGTATGGCATGGCGTTGCAAAATGGAGTGATAGCCTTCCTTCTTCAAGATCCCTTTTACCCTGTACAAATCTCCCACTTTACCACCACCAAAGCACCCACAGACCATCACATTGCCTCCACCATGCTTGACAGATGCAAATGTTCTTCTTTGTGATCCGAACACCTCAAACTTCGATTTGTCTGTCCACAACACTTTTTTCCAATCTTCCTCTGTCCAGTGTCTGTGTTCTTTTGCACATCTTAATCTTTTATTTTTATTGGCCAGTCTGAGATATGGCTTTTTCTATGCAACTCTGCCTAGAAGGTCAGCATCCCGGAGTCGACTCCTCACTGTTGACGTTGAGACTGCTGTTTTGTGGGTACTATTTAATGAAGCTGCCAGTTGAGGACCTGTGAGGCGTCTCTTTCTCCAGCTAGACACTCTAATGTTTGTCCTCTTGCGCAGTTGTGCACCGGGGCCTCCCACTCCTCTTTCTATTCTGTTTAGAGCCTGTTTTCGCTGTTCTGTGAAGGGAGTAGTACACAGCATTGTACGAGATCTTCAGTTTCTTGGCAATTTCTCGCATGGAATAGCCTTCATTTCTCAGAACAAGAATAGACTGACGAGTTTCAGAAGAAAGTTCTTTGTTTCTGGCCATTTTGATTCTGTAATCGAACCCACAATTGTTGATGCTCCAGATACTCAACTAGTCTCAAGAAGGCCAGTTTTATTGCCTCTTTAATCAGCACAACAGTTTTCAGCTGTGCTAACATAATTGCAAAATGGTTTTCTAATGATCAATTAGCCTTTTAAAATAATAAACTTGGATTAGCAAACACAACGTGCCATTGGAACACAGGACTGATGGTTGCTGATAATGGGCCTCTGTACACCTATGTAGATATTTCATTAAAAATCAGCTGTTTTCAGCTACAATAGCCATTTACAACATGAATAATGTCTACACTGTATTTCTGATCAATTTGATGTTATTTTAATGGACAAAAAAATGGCTTTTCTTTCGAAAACAAGGACATTTCTAAGTGACTCCAAACTTTTGAACGGTAGTGTACATTGACACAATTAACACAAGGATAAGGTGTTAGACCCCTAGGCTCTGATAATCAATGTGTATGCTATCTTTCTACTTTATGTTGTTCTGTCCCTAGAGATAATGCGATTCTCCCCAGCTCAGTAGTATTGGGAGACCCTAATGGTATTAACCCAGCAGGATGGGCCTCCACCGTTCATGCTAACCATGTTTGTCATCCTCTATCCCACAATGCAACAAAGAACCCTGCCTCGTTATGAAGGAGGATCCTGAACTCCTGAACTCTGGACGCCGCCATCGCTATGGTAACACATGAATAGGAAATATCCAGGCAACTTTGGGGTTGGCTGGGTTGCGGGGCAACCCCCGGGGTTCTGCCTTAAATATGGTGATGAGATATATATAGTCAAGGAGTGATGGGACCCCCTTTCTAAATGGGCATCATCCATTCTCAGCGGGATTGTAAAGAGGAGAAACAGGAAACGAAAGCAGTGCAAAGACAACATAGCTACCCCCTGCCAAGATGGTTTCTTCCTCTTATCTTATCCATTAGGATGGAAAGAAGATGAAAACATGGGGCCCCAAAAAAGGACATAGAGCCTCTGGTTTACCAAGGCCAGGGCCTCTCCCTCCATGGTCCCCTGTAGCTACCAAACACAGGTGGTTTGGAACCATTCCCCTCCCATGGAATGGCTTTTCTATCGGGCCCTTACCTTAGTGAGGGGACCATCTCGCTGGGGCCCCTGGCGGGCAGTGCCAACAGACTGGGGAAGGAGACCAAGCTCTTGCAGGTACTTCTGGATGCTAAGCTCTGCCTTTCCAGTCTTGAGCTTCCTGGCTCCACCATAGCGTGTCAGGGAGGCAGAATGGGGGTCCGGCCTTTGGATAGGAACCTTGCGTAGCTTGGACAGCTCTCTGGAGATAATCTGCTGGGTGGTGGCATCCTGCCATGTCAACCCTAGAGAGATGGAGTCGAGTGAACCGATGTTAAACCATGGTCATATTCATTAGTGCACACATAGCAAAACGTTTTGCAACGGTAAAACGAAAACGAGCGTTTCCTATTGGACAAGTACCTCCTCGTTTCTGTCTGTTTTCTTCCATTTGGTGTCTAGTGTATACAACCCAAGTTACCGCTCTGTTCGTACAAGAATACCAACACACATTTTCCCTGTCTGTGGATCCATATATACACCGGAACAGTGTTAAATTAACACACTGCTTAGTGTAAAGCCTTATTCAAATATTTCCCAGAGTGCCTTGCCTTTCGAGTAAATTGTAGGGTTATCACCCATGACTGTATTTGTTTGTGACAGAGATGGTTGTTTCATTCATCCATTTTTGGTCCCATGGACTTCACCAAGTGAGATCCTAAGCGAATATTTTATCATAATTTATGTATTTTTTTAAACACAATACCATATGTATTTCAAAAGGCCTTATTTTGAGGGCCTAGTTTTACCCTAATACAGGGGCATGAAACTCATACACGTCACTTTGAACTAAAACCACGCCCATCATTATCATATTTCCCAGCATGCTCTATTGCAGGTTGATTTTTAGAAATGTTTGTTTCAATATCTATGTTTGTGCATGTACATTGATTGATTAATTGATTGATGAATTAATTGAGTCCCAAGTAGATGGTGTGTAGATGGTTTGTAGATGGTTCGTAGATGTTCAGTAGACGTCAACATTTCAACTAACTATCCACTAATCCAACCCTAGCCCTAGCCCTAACCCTTATCCTAACCCTAAACTTAAACTTAACTCTTACCCTAACCCTTATTCTAAACCTAACCGTAAACATTAGCAAGCATTTGCTTATCAACAGATTGTTGATAGTAAGACCATCTGTAGATCATCTATATGGGACTACCCAAATAAAGTGTGACCCTAGCATCTTACAGTTTGATGTTCAAGGTTGGCCTTGTGTGCCTCATTATAAAAGTAAACACTGTACAGATAAAACACAATTATATTGGAAAACATTGAGAACCTTTTTTTTTTGACAGCAACAAAACAGAGGGTCATGCAATCAGTGAACACTGTAGCGTGGAGTTATCTGGCGGTGCCTCTCTTGGATTCTGATGGCAGTGAACCTGAGGAAAAGCAAAGCGATACATGGCACCCTCGCAGCAAGTCAACAAGCCCTGTGAGAATGTCACACCGCAGCCAAACGCAATGCCAACATCTCCACTAATTGCCAACACATACTCAGAATTCAAGGCTCCCGGGCAGGGGCACAACATAGCGCTGCCAAGGCCAGATGGAGCTACCCGGGCATTCCCTAAGAGCCAACAGGGACGGCTGCATTCCACTGCAAAAAAGCCCACAGAAATACCACCGATAATGTAATAATGCAGTGCAGTATCCATCTGCATGGGCAAAGATGGTCAGCCATGGAATGCAGTTTTACTGTTATTCTAATAGCATTGACAAAGTTAAAGGACAATTACACAACTTTTCAACCTCATATTCATTATCTCATTTTTTAAAATGTTTAGTCATTTTAGCAGATGCTCTTATCCAGAGCGACTTACAGTTAGTTAGTTAGTGAGTGCATACATTTTTTTTTTTCATCTCCAGCACAATACCTGTGTCTACGTATGTGAAAACGGCGCGTTTCTATGAGCTGTGGTTAAAAAGATAAGAAGAAAGATCCTAAATAATGATTCTCTGTGACATTAAAAGTAAAACAAAAAGTGACTTTCAAAACCTGCAAAGCGTTTCTAGCCAGAGGGATGGGCTTTTCTTGCTCCTCACATCACCACGAATCTCATAGTGTTCGAAAATCACTGTTTTTAAAATATTTTAACTTTGATGTCATCAGGTAGAACTTTTTAACTTTATATGTTTTTCTACAAAACGTAGAAATACGCAATTTTCACATACAGTATGTAGACAATGGTATTGTGCTGGAGATAATGAAAATGAGGGTGAAAAGTGGTGCTTGCCCTTTAAGTTAATGAGAAGACTCGTTAATGGAATGTGTGGGTGTTATCCATAGACCATAGAATCCATGATATTTCACAACTATTTCAGACATTCTCTCCTACAAAGTTAACCTTTGTAGAGGTCCTATTTTTGAGAGACAAAGACACTAATGGAATTTGTGAATGCTGGACATATAGAGCAGCAGGTAGCTTAGTGGTTAAGAGCGTAGTGCCAGTAACCGAAAGGCCGCTGGTTCTAATCCCCGAGCTGACTAGGTGAAAAATCTGTCGATGTGCCCTTGAGCAAGGCACGTAACCCTAATTGCTCCTGTAAGTCGCGTCTGCTAAATGACTGTAATGTAAAATGTAGAGGAGCACAATAGGCTAGCAGGAATGTTTAACCAAAAGTGTCCACATACAGTATGACTTAATTAGCCTGGCCTCTCATCCAAAACACGACAGGTATGTTATAACGCTCATCTCTATTCATGACCACCAGATGAAGTTTTGGAGCAATGTCGATCTGCCACTGATTTATCACATGATACCTCTGACTAGACCGTGGAGCGTATAGGGTCGCGGTTGTGGAACGTAACCCGACCGTCAGCCCAATCACAACACATACCAATCTAATCAAACTGTATTTATCACAGTGAAATGCTTGCTTACAAGCTCTTTCCCAACGATGCAGAGTTAAATAAGAAAATAATATAAAAACAAATGAAATATAAAACACACAGGAATGAAGCTATATACAAGGAGTACCATAACCATTTCATTGTGCAGGGATACGTGATGATTGAGGCAGATATGTACATAAAGGCAGGGGTAAAGTGACTAGGCAACAGAATATATAATACTAAAAGTCAAAAGAAGTAGCAGCAGCGTATATGGTGTGAGTGTGTGGTGTCAGTACGTGTATTCTGTGAGTGTGTTATGGGTTTATGTATGTGTGTGTGTGTGTGTGTGTGTGTGTGTGTGTGTGTGTGTGTGTGTGTGTGTGTGTGTGTGTGTGTGTGTGTGTGTGTGTGTGTGTGTGTGTGTGTGTGTGTGTGTGAGTGTCAGTGTAAGTATGTGTGTGTGTGTGGATAGAGAACTGTGATGGTGCATATAGCCAGTGCAGGTAGAGTCAATGCAGATAGTCCATACAGATAGTCCGGATAGCCATTGATTAACTATTCAACAGTCTAATTCCTTGGAGATAGAAGCTGTCTCTGAGTCTGTTGGGCCATAGACCTGATGCTCCGGTACTGCTTGCCTGGCGGTAGCAAAGAGAACAGTCCATGGCTTGGGTGGCTGAGGTCTTTGGCAATTTTCTGGTCATTCCTTAGACACCGCCTGGTATAAAGGTCCTGGATGGCAGGGAGCTCAGCCCCAGTGATGTACAGGGCGGTCTGCACCACCCTCTGTAGAGCTTTGCATACATTTTTTGACTCCTAAATTAATTGTTGTTTTGTTGTTATTTGAATCCCAGATTGCCTCTTTAAGTCTCAGTGGCAACAGCTGTGGTATTAAAAAACAAAAATAGAGAATTGTGATAGATTATTAAAAAATGTGTCCACCAACTAATGTTCAATTAATAATTCAACAACAAGTTTCAGACTAATTAATTGAGATGACAAGTGTTGAATAGAATAAAACAATTGCGCCAGGAAATTTCTAAAAATGAATCTACTTCAATCATCTTTCACGTTTTATTAGATTTAATGTCCCAAAACAAGACTCCTTTATTTTCCACAGTTAAGTTCCATATTGCTTTTTTATTTTTGCTATAATGTGTGTACACAGCAAATTCTCCAGTGTTAAATCAACACAATACAATATGTTCCGTATTTCACATGGTCTTATTTTTAAGGTCTAGTTTTACCCTACAGGGGTCTGAAACTCATGCACATCACTATGAACCAAAACCACACCCATCATTATCATATTTCCTAGTACACTCTATTGCAGGTAAGATTTTTTGAATTGTTTTTTTCAATATCTATGTTTGTGCATTGATTGATTAATTCATATTATGCTATGCAAATATAAATGACATACATTTTCTAAATTAATCCAACTTACTTATTGCATCCATTACTGAAATGGTTGTTCCAGTTTAGATGGTTTAGGCAGACTCATATCTGAGTCTCCCCAACCTTGGCTATCATTCTTAATGCAGGTTGCAAGTGGTAAACAATTCAAAGAAGAATTACACAGTGCTTTGCAAGACAACACCATGTGACTTGAAGGACTGATGTAGCCTGCAAACCATGAATTTCAGGCCAGTGTATTACTCATAAAATAAAAAAGTTGCAAAAGGGGTACTACACTTGTTTCGTCCCTTTAAGTTACAGGTAGATAATATATAAGGTTCCACCACAGTGACAACAGCATTTGTAAGCAGTAATACTGTACTTCTACCATAGAGCACTTAAACTGGTACAACACTTCCTATCACGGGTGGCCAGAAATAACTACCTGAAAGCCACGCCCCCACTAAGCCATGCCTCCAACATAATTTCCCAGTGTGCATTGCCTTTTTGAGTGAATTGTAGAGTTGCTACACATGACTGTATTTGTTAGTGACAGAGACATGGTTGTTGGATTAATTCATCTTCAATCCTTTGCCTTCACCAATTGAGTTCCTAGGTGAATGTTATCATGAAATGTCATATCTCACAATACTTTATTTTGAGGCCTAGTGTAACCCGTGATGATTCTGTGCTTCCAACTTTGTGGCAACAGTTTGGGGAAGACCCTTTCCTGTTACAGCATGACAATGCTCCTGTCCACAACGTTAGGTCAATACAGAAATGGTTTGTCGGGTTTGGTGTGGAAGAACTTGACTGGCCTGCACAGCGCCCTGACTTCAATCCCATCGAACACCTTTGGGATAAACTGGAACAATGACTGCGAGCCAGGCCTAATCGCCCAACATCAGTGCCCGACCTCACTAATGCTCTTGTGGCTGAATGGAGCAAGTGGACCAACTCCATTGTAATGCCCATGATTTTGGAATGAGATGTTCGACAAGCAGATGTCCACATACTTTTGGTAATGTAGTTTATATATATTCTTATTTTAAATCAACCACCAGTAGAGCATGCTGGGAAATAAAATGATGGCCATGACTTCAGTTTAAAGAGATGTGTCTGATTTTCCAGCCCCTGCATTAGGGTAAAACTATGCCCTCAAATTAAGGCCTTGTTAAATAGACATGATATTGTGTTAAATATATTTTAACATATTCACTTAGAAGAAATATGACAAATAAAAGGATGAATGCAACAACCACTTCTCTGTCACTAACAAATACAGTCATGGGTGGTAACTCTACAATTCACTTGAAAAGGCAAGGCACTCTGGGAACTATACAAATAAGGTTTTACAATAAGCAGTGTGTTGAGAAATTCAGAATAACTGTGCAGATACAGAGAAATACAATTTATAAGTCATAAACCTTCAGAGGAAACAATAACTTCCGGTAGAAGGCAGATATACAAGATGGCGTATTGAATACACAGCGGTAAAAAACACCTCAAGATAAAAACATAATATTCAATATCAGTAAGTTATACTAAATATTAACATTTCATATATTCGAGGGTAATAACATTCAATCTAGATAATAACACAAAACAAATTATAAGGCTAGAGAAATTTATCGACAAATATTACAACACGCAACACCCAAACATGACGGAAGATAAACGAGGAGAATCAATCTCCAAGAGAAAACGCGACTCCTCGACTGATACAGATGATTTATGCTTTTCACCACTGGGACTGGTAAGTGTGGAAAGCGACTTGTAGAAGTCGATAAATGACAAACTGGGCATACTAGAGTTGGTCAGTAATGATGTAAAAGAGTTGAAGGCGAGTCTTGAAATGAGTGACGGAAAAGCTGCGATAATGGAGAGCGATACAAAAAAACTAAAAGGGACAGTCACTGGGATGGAATCGGACGTTAAGGAACTTAAAAAGGAGAACAACTTTCTGAGAAAAGCCTTCCTAGATATACAAACCAGATCAATGAGAGAAAATCTAGTACTTACGGGTATCCAGGAAAAAGAGGGAGAAATTACAGAAAAAACAGTGAAGGACTTCTTTCTTACAGCGCTTCAAATTCCACTCGAGGCTGTCGACAAAATCCAACTCGAACGTGTACACCTTTTCGGACAAAGAGGACAGAGATATGAGCGTCCAATCGTTGCCAAATTTGCTTTTTTTAAGGATAAAGTAATGGTTAAAAGCCTAGGTGAAAGACTTGCTGGCACGAAAATAGGCATGAATGCTCAGTTCCCGAGGGAGATTGCAGAACGGCGCAAAGTTCTGTACCCAATCTTCAAGGAAAATAGATGAAAAGGGAAGCGTGTTGCTCTTGTTGTCGATAAACTGTATATTGACAACCAAATGTTCCGCGACACAAAGACTACTCCATGGCTATTCTGAAAGTTCTAATAGAGGAGTCGAATAATGGAACACCCAATACTAGCCATGGTAGGGATTGTAATAATAAAGCACATTTATAGTAGGTATAGTATTTTATAAAGGGAAAAGAAGGTATTACAAGAAAAGATAACAAGCAAAATAATAAATCTTCAAATATTTACAAACATATATAATGATAATTAGTTTTGAAACTTGACAGGTATTTAACATTATGGTATATGGTGAAATAAGTATAGCCAGTTATAATTGTAATGGCTTAGCAGATAATAACAAAAGAAGAAAAATATTTACATGGCTCAAAGAGAAGGAATATAATATCTATTGTTTACTGGAAACTCATTCAACAATTCTAGATGAAGTTGCGTGGAAAAAGGAATGGGGGGGGGGGGCAAATATACTTCTCCCATGGGCAAAGAAACTCAAAAGGGGTGATGATATTAATTAACAGTAATTTCGATCCGAATGTGGAAATTGTCCAAACAGATACGCAAGGTAGATGGATTATTTAAAATATGTTATTGGACCATAAACAGATGGCTCATTAAAAAAAATATTAAATTATATTTGGAACGGCAAGCCAGACAAAATTAAACGGGCCTATTTATATAATGAATATGAATTCGGAGGACAGAAATGATTAAATATTAAAGCATTAGACCTATCACTAAAAGCTTCAGTCATACAAAAGTTATTATTAAATCCGAACTGGTTCTCTAGCAAATTAGTAAGATTGTCTCATCCAATGTTCAAGAATGGCCTTTTTCCCTTTATTCAGATTACAACCTCTCACTTTCAGTTATTTGAAAAGGAAATCTCCCAAAATCACTATTTCTTAAAACAAGCCATAGAAAGTTGGTTGCAATTTCAATTTAATCCTCCAGAAATGACAGAACAAATAATGCAACAAATATTGTCGTTAAACTCAAATATTCTAATTGATAAAAAACCTTCTTTTTTTGACAAAATGTTTAAAAAAGGTATAATCTTCGTAAATTATATCATCGGTAGGACTGGTGGAGTTAAGTCACACATGCAGCTAACAAAAACATATGGAAATGTCTGCTCTACCCAAAATTACAACCAAATAATTGCATCATTACCGCAAAAATGGAAGAGGAAAGTGGAAGGGGGACAATGTAAGGAACTTGTCTGTCGGCCTTGCATTAAAGAACACAACGGCAGGTAGCTTAGTGGTTAAGAGCGTTGTGCCAGTAACCGAAAGGTCACTGGTTCTAATCCCCAGGCCGACTAGGTGAAAAATCTGTCGATGTGCCCTTGAGCAAGGCACTTAACCCTAATTGTTCTGGATAAGAGCATCTGCTAAATGACTACAAAAAACATAACTGGTTAAAGAAAACTGTGATAATTTTTTTTTATATCAGTTTCATTTAAGGACCAAAGGATTGACATGGCATAGTGTTCATGAACACATCCCATGGCATAGTGTTCATGAACTGATTCAAAACTTAGAATTCAATTATTTTATAAAATTCTTGCTACCAATAGAATGTTATTTATGTGGGGGATACAATCTTCCCAGCTCTGCAGATTTTGCTGCGAAGAGACAGAATCATTAGATCATTTGTTTTGGGACTGTCCATTTGTAGCTTGTTTTTGGACATAGGTCCAGGAATGGCTAAATGATTGCAATATTTACCTGGAGCTAACCCTGCAGATAGCATTACTGGGTGATCTGAAAAGTCATAGTCAATCGATTAATATTATAATAATACTTTTAGCAAAAATGTTTATTTTCAATTTACAATCTGTAGAAACAACGAGAATAGAAAGGTTCAGAACTTTTGTAAAACATTACAGTACAGTTGAAAAATATATGGCAAATATAAATCCAATATGGATGGTGTTAAGAGATAGATGGGTGGTGTTGAATGGAGTTGAAGGATGGGACTAATAACAACTAAAAACAACTAATAACAACAAGATAACAAATAATGTAAGCATACTGTGTCCATAATAAGTATATACAGTGGGGAGAACAAGTATTTGATACAGTGCCGATTTTGCAGGTTTTCCTTCTTACAAAGCATGTAGAGGTCTGTCATTTTTATCATAGGTACACTTCAACTGTGAGAGACAGAATCTAAAACAAAAATCCAGAAAATCACATTGTATGATTTTAAAGTAATTCATTTGTATTTTATTGCATGACATAAGTATTTGATCACCTACCAACCAGTAAGAATTCCGGCTCTCACAGACCTGTTAGTTTTTCTTTAAGAAGCTCTCCTGTTCTCCACTCATTACCTGTATTAACTGCACCTGTTTGAACTCTTTACCTGTATAAAAGACACCTGTCCACACACTCAATCAAACAGACTCCAACCTCTCCACAATGGCCAAGACCAGAGAGCTGTGTAAGGACATCAGGGATAAAATTGTAGACCTGCACAAGGCTGGGATGGGCTACAGCACAATAGGCAAGCAGCTTGGTGAGAAGGCAACAACTGTTGGCGCAATTATTAGAAAATGGAAGAAGTTCAAGATGACGGTGCAAGATCCATGCAAGATCTCACCTCGTGGGGCATCAATGATCATGAACTACATGGCAGGACCTGGTCAATGACCTGAAGAGAGCTGGGACCACAGTCTCAAAGAAAACCATTAGTAACACACTACGCCGTCATGGATTAAAATCCTGCAGCGCACGCAAGGTCCCCTTGCTCAAGCCAGCACATGTCCAGGCCCGTCTGAAGTTTGCCAATGACCATCTGGATGATCCAGAGGAGGAATGGGAGAAGGTCATGTGGTCTGATGAGACAAAAATAGAGCTTTTTGGTCTAAACTCCACTCGCCGTGTTTGGAGGAAGAAGAAGGATGAGTACAACCCCAAGAACACCATCCCAACCGTGAAGCATGGAGGTGGAAACATCATTCTTTGGGGATGCTTTTCTGCAAAGGGGACAGGACGACTGCACCGTATTGAGGGGAGGATGGATGGGGCCATGTATCGCGAGATCTTGGCCAACAACCTCCTTCCCTCAGTAAGAGCATTGAAGATGGGTCGTGGCTGGGTCTTCCAGCATGACAACAACCCGAAACACACAGCCAGGGCAACTAAGGAGTGGCTCCGTAAGAAGCATCTCAAGGTCCTGGAGTGGCCTAGCCAGTCTCCAGACCTGAACCCAATAGAAAACCTTTGGAGGGAGCTGAAAGTCCGTATTGCCCAGCGACAGCCCTGAAACCTGAAGGATCTGGAGAAGGTCTGTATGGAGGAGTGGGCCAAAATCCCTGCTGCAGTGTGTGCAAACCTGGTCAAGACCTACAGGAAACGTATGATCTCTGTAATTGCAAACAAAGGTTTCTGTACCAAATATCAAGTTCTGCTTTTCTGATGTATCAAATACTTATGTCATGCAATAAAATGCAAATGAATTACTTAAAAATCATACAATGTGATTTCCTGGATTTTCGTTTTAGATTCCGTCTCTCACAGTTGAAGTGTACCTATGATAAACATTACAGACCTCCACACTTGCTTTGTAAGTAGGAAAACCTGCAAAATCGGCAATGTATCAAATACTTGTTCTCCCCACTGTAGGTTATAGGTTGAGAGCTTTTGTGAAAGAGCACAGTTAAAAAGATATGGCATATAGAAGCAAACCGGATGGACATCATGAAAATGATCGTTGAGGGTAGAGGTTGTGGGTAGAGGAAGTTCAGGAGTAAAAACAAACAATATATAATTATTGTAAAATTGACTGTGTCCATAAAATGTATATAGTATGTATAAGCTGGAAGTAGAGGCCTAAGCATTGTTGTTCACTAGTTTACTCCAATTAGGGAAGGGGTGGTGGGGTTGGAAAGTAATAAAGATAAAAAAAAATTTTTAAGGAAATGTATACAGTGGGGAAAAAAATTTTTAGTCAGCCCCAATTGTGCAATTTCTCCCACTTAAGAAAGATGGAGAGGGCCTGTAATTTCATCATAGGTACACGTCAACCTAGACATACAAATTGAGGAAAAAAAAATCCAGAAAATCCATGTAGATTTTAATTGAATTATTTGCAAATTATGTGGAAATAAGTATTTGGGTCACCCTACCAACAAGCAAGATTTCTGGCCTCACAGACCGGTAACTTTCTTCTGTAAGGGCTCCTCTGTCCTCCACTCCGTTACCTGTAGTTAAGGGCAACCTGTTTGTACCTGTTATCATATAAAAGACACCTGTCCACAACCTCAAAACATTCCACGCTCCAACTTCACATGTCCAAGACCAAGAGCTGTAAAGGACACCAAAAAAAAATTGTAGACCCTGCATCAGGATGGGAAGACTGAATTGCATAGTTAAGTCAGCTTGGTTTTGACGAAATCACTTGTGGAAGCAATTATTAGGAAATGGAAGACATACAAGACCACTGATAATCTCCCTCGATCTGGGGCTCCACGCAAGATCTCACCCCGTGGGGTCAAAATGATCACAAGAACGGTGAGCAAAAATCCCAGAACCACACGGGGGGACCTAGTGAATGACCTGCAGAGAGCTGGGACCAAAGTAACAAAGCCAACCATCAGTAACACACTACGCCGCCAGGGACTCAAATCCTGCAGTGCGAGACGTGTCCCCCTGCTTAAGCCAGTACATGTCCAGGCCCGTCTGAAGTGCATTTGGATGATCCAGAAGAGGATTGGGAGAATGTCATATGGTCAGATGAAACCAAAATATAACTTTTTGGTAAAAACTCAACTCGTCATGTTTGGAGGACAAAGAATGCTGAGTTGCATCCAAAGAACACCATACCTACTGTGAAGCATGGGGTTGGAAACATCATGCTTTGGGGCTGTTTTTCTGCAAAGGGACCAGGTCGACTGATCCGTGTAAAGGAAAGAATGAATGGGGCCATGTATCGTGAGATTTTGAGTGAAAACCTCTTCCATCAGCAAGGGCATTGAAGATGAATCGTGGCTGGGTCTTTCAGCATGACAATGATCCCAAACCACACCGCCCGGGCAACGAAGGAGTGGCTTCGTAAGAAGCATTTCAAGGTCCTGGAGTGGCCTAGTCCAGTCTCCAGATCTCAACCCCATAGAAAATCTTTGGAGGGAGTTTGAAAGTCTGTGTTGCCCAGCGACAGCCCCAAAACATCACTGCTCTAGAGGAATCTGCATGGAGGAATGGGCCAAAATACCAGCAACAGTGTGTGAAAACCTTGTGAAGACTTACAAAACGTTTGACCTGTGTCATTGCCAACAAAGGGTATATAACAAAGTATTGAGAAACTTTTGTTATTGACCAAATACTTATTTTCCACCATCATATGCCAATAAATTCATAAAAAAATCCTACAATGTGATTTTCTGGATTTTTTTTTCTCATTTTGTCTGTCATAGTTGGAGTGTTTTTGAAAGGAATGTATATGTAGTGTATTTATATATATGTATGTATATATGTATGTATGTGTATGTATGTATGTATGTGTATATATATATATATATATATATATGTATGTATATATGTATGTATGTATGTGTATGTATGTATGCATGTATGTATGTGTATATATATTTGCGAGAAGAAAAAAAACATATGGGGGATTGGAAGTGATGCAGATAATTACATTGATGGAAGTTACAATCTATCTACAATATTAAAGCTGATCTACCACCTAAATAATTATTTTTTTAAATAAATAAACATTCAGAGGAAATATTCCACTCGTCAGAACACCGTTGCAGCAGTTGACATTCCCATTTACAGAAACCCATGCGGTGTGCTCAAATCAACGGTGGACTAAGAAAAGTCCAACCCACACATGACTCACGAGTTATTCAACAATAATACTCACATTTTTTACCTAAGGGTCCCATTTTCACATACCGTGGCATAGAGGAAGTCCATATGCCTACGTGTTCCAAAAGTAGTACTAGATCTGAGCTCTTCAACACCAAATACAGCAATGGACCATTAGCTTAGCTATAGAAAGCTCTTCAAAATAGCTTACGTAGTAGCCTACATTTGTGGGTCTGTGTGTATAAGCATGCACTATGCACATCTATGACAGCAAACCATATATAATGTGATTATAACAGAGTGTGGGTGAGAAATTACATATTGTATGCAGACCTGGGTTCAAATTCTATTTGAAGTCATTTCGAATAATTTAGCTGGGTTTAATTGAGCTTGCCTGGCACAATGCAACCAATAGTATAGTCACAAAACTGTGAAACCCACCCATCTGGAACTACAGGCAGGCTAAAGCAAATTATAACAGTATTTGAAAGACTTAAAATAGTGTTTGAAACCAGGTCTGATTGTATGTTTTGTTGTTCTGGAAGACCCACCTCAACGCAAAGACACACAGCCACCGATGAGCACATATAGAACCTGTGTATAAGAGGAAGATCAGTGGTGCTGAAATTACCCACTGTCTGTTTGTGGTCATTGCACATTCCTGACTGGCTAGATGATCATAGCCATAGCACTGATGTAAATGTCACAATGCATTATCGTACTTCACTTGTCTTGAGAGTGAGTGAGGAATGAGGATTCACTCTGCTTTGCACATGGATCAAGGGCGATACCGAAGGGTCAACCTACTGTAGAGCAGGGAGCCTAGTCCTTATTACAGATAGCCTAGGTAGACAGTGAGGGCAGAACCCGTGGTGTAGCAGTAACGCTCTCTGGCTCTAACCTAGTATATGCTTCTCCCCACTGAAGACCATGCTTCAATGCCTGTGTCTTCTCTTCCCACTGTTTCTCCCATCTGCCCGTTTCCCCTTATTGTTTTACAACTGTCTAAATAAAGTGAGGGGAAAAGGTAGTCAGTGAGGGGGTCCAGACAGAGATAGATATTGACGTAAGAAAACACTCTTGAAATCAGGTGAAGAAATGTATTGGCATCTGGTATAGGTGTGGCATAATGTGGCATAATCCAATGAAAATACAAAATTATCAAGAGATAATTTGCATGTCAAACACACGCATGCACGCAATGCTATCAAAAGCCTGATGCTAAAACAAATAAGACAGAAGCCTTGAAAGCTTTGCAATATGATGTGTGGACACACTGTGTTTGCACGCTATGAATCCCAAAGTTGCCTTCGCACATAGCACCATCGGTGCAGGCTAATCTAAAGTCATTGGCAGTGGATGACAGTGTCTTGCACTCAGAGGCGGCGTGTGGAAAATGTAATAGCCAATAATGCTCCCTCCCAGTAGGGATATGGCCAAACAAAGCAAGGAACACAAAAACAAGAGAAACCCTTTTTGTGTCGGGTCAATTTCTATTGATCTAATGACATTGGATGTTGTGCGCAGAGCCCAGATTGTATGATTTCTTCTAAAGATACTCAGATGCAAGATAAAGAGAATTGCAAATCGATGCAATTGATGTTCCCCCCTTCTCCTCTTTTCATCTCCTCCATTTAGGTTACAGTACAATAGTCTCAATCACCCTGTCTGCTCTTCAACAGGGGAACATCTCAAAGATGACAGACACCTCAATAGGGACAAAGCTGATAAGATATAAAATGCATTGAAGCATAGACAGTGTACTGATTTTTCTGAAGATAAGACTACTCTGTCTTTAGATATGGTTCTATGAGACACAAGCAAAGCTGAGCCGGCTTTAACCGGAGCTCAAGACTGAGCAGCGCCAGCAAAAGTGTGTGATGGAGGGAGGTCGACATTTCAGAGATATTAACACCTGGAAATAGAGCTGGAACAAACTGACGCACCGACTCTCATCCTCCTCAGTCTCATCCGTTTATTTCAGAGAAGTAATTAGAATAAATGCTGTGGTCTCACGCTGTGCCTAGTATTCATTACTCCGGTTATAATTTCCCATGGATGCCCGCTTGTTTTTTTATGGTTTTCAACACTCGTTTACGTCTGTTATAAAGATTAAGTTTAGAGTGGCCTGTAAAGCCAATTACCTGGAAAATGTTTGTGCTTTGTTGTCATGGTTTGTTTTGAATGTATCTGCTGCCCTCTGGCTGAGACAGCCTGTAGTTGCAGATGCTTCGGATACTCTTGTAGCCAGAATACAACTGAGGATAATGATATTGGATATTATAAATATTGCATAAATGTGAATGAGACCTGGAACTACATATATGATTTAATTTGCATTTTTAAATTTGATGCATTAAAGCATATAATTACTTTGGTAATGCACTGGTCAAAAACCTAATGTTAAAACTAAACTGAGCCATACAATCAACTGTCTAACACTTTCCTTTTTTTAGTTCCATTGGATACACTTCCGCTAGAGAGCATGAACTAATTAGCCTAGTGAATCCATTTGTGCTATTACACTGTGTCAATTCAAAAGCTTCAGATGTCTGGTCTTGGCTGGAGGCACCAAACGATTGGTCGATTTCATCTGCCACCCGTGACAGACAGCAGAAGAATATTAAATAGAGAGAGAGACACCCTGCTGAAAAAACAGCATAGACCAGCCTTCATTGTGCTTTCATTGGTGACCAACCTTTGTTGTGTTTTCACTGGTGACCAGTCTTCACTGTGTTTTGGACAATGGTCACCCACCAAAAACTGCATCAAGTCACATTACGCTGGTTTACAAAGTCTACATTTTATAGGAATCCAGTCTGAGTGGGGATAACCAACAATTTGAACTTTTATTCATCCACAATCTGCATTTTGAATGACTACCAGGGTTAGAACAACAAATAAATGAGACTACCTAAAGCATCTAAACTGGAACAACCATTTCAGTAACAGGTGTAATAAGTCCAAATAACAGATTGGATTAGTTTTTAAAAGATTACGTTATTTATCTTTGTGTAGCATAGGTACATGCAAAACACAGACATTGAAAAATGTCTGTAATAGAGCATGCTGGGAAATATGCTAAATATTGGCCGTGGTTTTGCAGACCAGCTTGACCAGCTAGACAATACTGGACCAGCATACACTCTTTAAAAAATGGTTATTGAGGGGTTCTTTGTCAGGGGTGAGGGTGATATTTTTTTGCATATCAGGAAGGGTTCTTTACTGCTGTGATGGTTGTAGAAAGCTCATAATAGCCAAACTGTTCGATTAATATGTCACGCTTTTCCCGTGATTCATTTTCATGCCAGCCAGGTAGGCTATACTCCTGTTGTAAAGCAAAGCAATGTGCTTAATATTAGGAAAGTTGATAAATAAATATAGTAGGCCTAGCCTATAGAAAGCTGATGGGATCCTCCTCTTTTTAATAGAGGCCATCAAAACTCTGTTTTCTCCCCCAATTGCATAGCCTATTGGGTGTTGCGCAACACGAGCTCATGGGCTCTCAAAGTGTTTGATTTGATTTTCCATTACATTTGCATTGATGTCAGAGTGATTAGAGGGACAGTAGAGTGCTGAGTACCAGGCAGTTTGCAAGTTTGGTAGGCTACTAATGACAATCAGCAGTATCAGAGCTTGGAGAAGCCTAGTTACGTGTAATTTGACTGCGGTAATGACTCATGACTAACGGTGTGGCAGTAATATGGTCACCGTAACAGCCCTATTAGGGAGAGGTTGAAAATGTCAGTGAAGACACTTGCCAGCTGGTCAGCGCATGCTCTGAGTACACGTCCGGGTAATCCATCTGTTAACCTATTTAAAGGTCTTACCCACATCGGCCACGGAGAGCGTAATCACACAGTTGTCCGGAACAGCTGGTGCTCTCATGCATGGTTCAGTGTTGCTTGCCTCGAAGCGAGCATAAAAGGTATTTCGCTCGTCTGGTAGGCTCGGGTCACTGGGCAACTTGCGGATGGGTTTCCCTTTGTAATCTGTGATAGTTTGCAAGCCCTGCCACATCCAACGAGTGTCAGAGTCACTGGCAACTAACTGCCAGTAACATACTGGCAGCTTAACTGTCAGTAAGTTATCTTTAAAAGCACAGCAGCATACTTGCAACTAGCTGCCAGTAGCTCACTGTAACTTCAATTAACTTTTCTGATTACAAGAAAGCATATAACATTAGGTGACAGCTATTAGGCATTCTTTGTGGTGAGCACACTCAGGACCCAGCCTCACCTGGCCTCAACCTCGAGGTCAGCAGCAAACTGATCTTCCTGCCACACTACCAGGTCAGAGAACATGACAGAAATCAGCCACAGTAAGTTACTGTGAATTGTACAATATCTACTTACAACAAGTTCTTGAAAATTTAACATTTACTTCCCAGTGACCAACTGCAATTAAATTCCTGGAAAATGCACAGTTACCTCTTAACAACGCAGCTCTTGATTGTCCACAAGCTTTTCTTTTTTTATTAAATAATTATTCAGAATTATTTTTTATTAAATATTTTTTTGGCAGTTAACTTTAATATGAAATTAACTTAAATGTGAATAGACTGTAGTTTACTACAGGTCTGTAAATAAATATTGAGAATGTAAAGAAGTGGAGGGCGCTCAATCAACGTGAGTCGAAGTGCAATCAAAATGTGTTAATCATCATTGAAAAGGAAAAGGCACAATGCGCACATAGGTTACATGCTGACCACACCGACCGCGTTGCATGCGCGAGTGTTGCAAAATAAATGTACACACATGTTATTCAATCAGTGCATCTCCGTAGCCCGGCGCTAAAATAGAACTTGGTTCTGTTTTTGATGTGTGATGTGCTACAAGTCCCGTCTCTTGGTTTTTAGGAGCATATACCCACTTGTGGGTGATTGAAAGATGAGGTCCACACTCCAGTCCAGTTGGTGGTGGTAATGCACCTTAAAGTTGGTTGCCAACTGCCATATAAAGTCCACAGAAGAAGAAGACGAAGACGCAGACGACGGAAGGTGGAGAAACTAAATAGGTTTCCCCTTTTATCTGTGGATTAATTGTCAGAGTAGAGGACATGATTTTGTGTGACTCAAAATGGGTCAAAGTTCTACAAAGATCCAGAAA